CCGACAGCACTGAAAATACGGCACGCCCAAACACACGCTACCCATCGCCAAGCACCATCTCACGCGACCGTATCCCCGTGCGGTTTGAGGCAGACCCATCCTATTCACAGTGTTCCAAACTGTTTTAGAATATATGCATTTAGATCTTTTCGGGTTGGGAGTTATGGGTAATTTGGCAAAGCGAACACCATAACTGGTTTCTTACATAACTCTACAGTTGGCAGTAAGGCAGTGCGCATTGAAATTAAGCAATGCTCATTCATCCAAGACTTGACTTTTCCTCCTTTGGAGGGATAAATGCTCCGGTTTCGTTTTGCTCCATTATTGGAGACTGTAATATTACTGGCTAACTTTAATGGTTCTCTGAAGGTAATTCTTACATGTGAATGGCAGAGTTCTAGTTAACTTCTGGAAGCTTAGGAGGTGTCTCTGTGTGCCGCTAGACTAGACAATGCTTTTAGAAGTAACTTGAGTGCTTTTAGGTGATAATGCAACTGGGGAGATTGGGAAGGACCGAGGACCCAGGCTGCCCACAGGGATCGAAACTGGAAACGTGCTTAGCACCTCAGAGTTGCAGCCTTTGGAAAGAAGGGGCAGATATTTCACCTGAAAAGGGGCCCGTTTTCAGGTACGCTCTCCAACCCTGGCATGCATTCCTTTCATTTCTTCTTCCTTTTCTATGAGAAGAAAAACGCAACTTTTAGTCTATGTGTCTCAAAACAGGACAGCTGATCTCAGTGTTTTCTTTTCTCAACTCCAGAAGCTAGATTCTCTAAAATGTGTTTGTATCTTTTTCTGAATCCAGTAGCTCCAAGAAAATGATCAAAGTGTTGCATCTTCCTAGTTTCCAGATTACAATAGTAAAATTTTCCAGTGAAGAATCCCAGAATTGCTTGAGGAGCTCTTCTCACATTCCCACTGTGGAATACAAGTGAGAATGGGGACATTCATCCAGTAAAGTTCAATTAGGGTGGAAAAAAAGCGCCATATTTCAAAATGAATTCCACTTTTTTTTTTTCTTTAAAAACAGAGTTCATTGACCAAGAAAGATTTCAAAACGTTTTCTCTAATACCCCAACATGAAACTTGGATTGAGGTTTTCAGGGAATTACAGGGATCAAACAACTAGCCAAGGCTTGAGTTTCCAGGTTTCCCAAAGGCTCAAAACTCCCCCAGAGGCTAATTACTGTTTACTGCTGAGACCTTCCTCATTTTTCTTCTGTAACATTTTCCATCTTAAGAAGGGTGGTCCCATTCAGATGAGGAGCATGGTGTCTGAGTGGCTGAATGGAATTACTACCAGTGGAAACTATGTTGCAAGAGGAGTTGATAAAGCAGCTGCAAGGCAAACCTTGGCTGTTTTTTCCATCCTCCCCAAGCAAAGTTAATTAGCATAGGGAAAATGACTAAGGTGTTGACGTCACCTCTTTCCAGTAGAAACTTACACTCTGTCTCTGTCTGCCTAAAAGCATGCAGGACTTGACTCAGGAATTTGCTGTCCAAACAGGATGCTCTAGAAGCTGTGCTTTTTTTTTCCCAGGGGGCTGGACTTCGGTGCTTTATAAGGGCCTGCTGGAGCGACAACCTCCAGCCTCTTGCAAGGGACCGTCACTTGGGGCTTGACTGCCTGAGTCGCTAGTGCTTTCGCTCTAAGAAAGCAAGATGCACTTTAGAAACTTCAACTACAGCTTTAGCTCCCTGATTGCCTGTGTGGCAAACAGTGATATCTTCAGCGAAAGTGAAACCAGGGTAAGGCTTCTAATAGAATGTGATTTTTTGAGAGGTTTCAAAGCACTGTGTTAATTGGAAATAGCAGCTGAAATATTTGCGGGGGTGTGATGTGGCTGTCTTGCGGGTTTGGGGGTTTTGAAATAAGTCCAAGATATTTGGTGCTTTATCAAACAAAGCTGTTGCCTGAGGGATTAACTGTGAAGGAATGTTTAAAACTCTCAGTATTTGAAAACATCCAGGTCCCTTGACCAATCAGTAATGCAAAGTTTTAACATGGTTTGTATTTTTCATTCTGTGTAGGTTGTAAGCAACCTTTTAGAGGGAAGCTTTTTCTGGCCGTGAACAGAGCGTTTCACTTTGACATCTAGAGATCAGAACAGTGTAATTTTATCTTGGGAAATAAATATCGCAAAGATATTTGTATGTCTGTGGTAATTACAAGGGCCTGTCCTCAAGTTTTCAGCTTCCTTTAGCTAGGGAAAATGCAGCCATAGCAAACAATAAAACTGGATAAATATCTTAAGTTTAAGTGTGGGGAAGCAGCTCTCATTGGTGGTAATTAGTAGAATTAGTCATTGTAATCACCGTGCTTTTCTTCATTCGATTAAGATGTAAGATTTCCATCAGTAGCTACCCAGCTGTCTAATTGATCTTTAACAATATTGTATATGAGTGAGTTCTGTGTCTTGTGTTTGGGGAATGGTGTTCGTGCTATAGGCTTTAGAGCCCATGCCATATTGGGACATGTGAAGGATTTTTTTTTTCTTTAATCAAATTGAACTGCACGAGTGTGTATGATGCTTGACAGCTAGGATTGTGATTTCTGAACGAGATAGCAGCACATTCTATGTGTGAAAATCCCACAAAAGCTACGTATTTCATATTAGCCTTATGTGAGTAAAATCATTCTTTATTCAATCAAAGAGGGACAGCGTCCAGCAACTATAAGAGCTGATCCCAGCTGTCAGAACAAATAAGATTATTTTTTAGGAGAATGGCGTCATAGTGATGTGGCTTTAACAGACGCTGTGTGCCTTCTCTTGTGGTCTGGTCCTGAGCCCTGACTTGTATTCTAAAAATATTCCTCAAAGTCATCTCCCCTAAATTCTGAATCATAATTCCAAAACTAAACAGTGGGTCACAATGCCTATTGATGAGGTCATGCAAAATTCCAAATATATATGCACAGACCGTGCGCCAGAAACTTGCCTGAGCTCCCGCTGGAGAGAGGTGGGGAAAAAGTCCGCCAGCAGCCAGATGAAATCCTCTGGGAAGCATCTGCTGTGTAACATTTTTCTCATTCTTTGCCTCTGCAAAACCCCTCAGAGGTTTTCATAAACGAAAGCAAAGCCACGGGATTCAGAGAGAGAAAGTTGGTGAGTTGTTACCACCCCCACCCTTGGAACAACCTGCCTGGTGCAGACGGGCTGACCGCCCCCGCCCCCACGCTGGAACACAAGTCCTGTCCTGCCCGTGAAGCCTCTTGCGCCTGGAAGTGCCATGCCCTTGCCTCTCTCTAGCACTGAACATTCTTGAAAATGTTCTCTTGTAAGGCGTCCCCTCTGCAGAAACTGCTTTCCGCAGGTTTCCAAGGTACTCGGTGCTCCCCGCCCGCTTCCTCCTCGACCTCGGTCCCCTTTGTAGAAGGCGCGCCCCTTCCCCAATGGGACCCTCAGCCGGCCCTTTCTGCCTTGCGCAGACTTCCCACCACCTGTCCTTCCTGTTCAGTCTGGAAGAAAAGGCTCGGAGGGTAGGACGCCTCAACGTCCATACAATCTTTCTGGAAGTTTTGACTATCAACTCCGTCTCTGGTTGGAGCCTTGAGACCTCGCTGTGGCCTCCCATCTCACCCCACACCCTCCCGCAAAAGCCACCACCCCAGGACCCAGCCCAGCAGGGGCCTCTCCACACAGCTTCTCCCAGAAAGCTGGTGAGCTCCTTCCTGAATCTAAGCCTAACACCCTTGGACTTGGGCATTTCCATCCTAAGAACTCATGCTGTTTTGTAATTTTCACTAGGCGTTGTAACACTAGAGCTAGAAATATACATACATTGTAGCCCGCATGCAGAAATGGATCCATTTGTGGGAGGCAAACCGGAAGAGACTCTTAACTACAGAGAACAAACTGAGGGTTTGCTGGAGGGGAGCAGGGCGGGGGATGGGCCAAATGGGTGCTGGGCATAAAGGAGGTCACTTGTTGGGACGAGCACTGGGTGGGGGTTCTACTCCTGAAACCAATACTACGCTGTATGTTAACTAGCTTGAATTTAAATAAGTAAAAATTTTTTCTGAAAGGAAAGAAAGAAATGGGTCCTTTGGCAGTACATTAATTTTTAAACCAGTATTATTTTAGAGAGTTAAAAAGTAACAGACTCAGTGGGAAAATAATAGGGAGATTTCTTTTTAAACCTCTTCCTTTACACTGAGAAATGCAGGGTTTCTTATTAACTTCATTGTTTCCCAATGCAATAAAATTAAAAAGAAA